AAAAAAAAAAAAAAAAAAAAAAAAAAAAAAAAAAAAAAAAAAAAAAAAAAAAACGTGTTTCCAGATTATATAAACACACTGTTTATCTCAATGTTCTCACCCACTGTATATAACACAAATATGTGGTTTAACAACTATAAAATGAACATCTCTTCAGGTTATATAAACCATTATATTGTGCCAAACATAAAAGCAATAAATGTGGTTTATCTGACCACGTATATAGTATACATGCAACACAAATATACTAAACATAAAAGCAATAAACATCAACAAGGACTTACAATGAATTTTTCTTTGTGCAAATCAAGTTCGGCAAAAACACGTCTCGAGAAATCTTGGCTCAAAGTTAGAATACACATGAAGAGGAAAACCAAGTTCCAGACTGGAAATGGAAAGAACATTTCTATTGGGTCTACTCCTTGAATTCCAAATGCACCATATTTTAGATCGTCTGCTACCGTTGAAGGGGATAAGAGCATGCTCAACAAGGTTAGTGATCTCGTGAACACTAGTGGGGATAGCTGGGACAAATATCTTATTTTCCAAACCTTCAATACTATAGAAGTTGATTTTTTACTTAATCTACCTCTGAATAGAAAAGGACAAAAAGATAAATGGATGTGTCATTATCACAAAAGTAGCCTTTTTCTGTTAAATCAACTTATAATGTTATTATCATATGCAAGAACAAGAATCTTCTAAATGTTGAATCTAGCTCGAAATCTAATATAGTGGCAAATATATGGCAGAGGACCTGGTCTTTAAAGGTGAAATAAATCATGTGGAGTTGATGGCACAATTTTTTGAGTACATCTCATCAGGTAGTGAAAATATTGTTGTTTGTGGACCCTATCTATTGATTGTGTGGAGAGATGGAGAAAGACTTTGAACACAATTTATTTGAGTGCCCAAGGGTAGCTTAGTTGTGGAAATTAGCTGAGATTGATTGGAATTGTTTGCAGTTCTCATCATTTTCTTTAAGCACTTGTGGTCTGACAGCTGCCACATTATTGAGGTAGGCTACATATCAGACATAATCCACCTTTCAACTTATATATTGTGGTGGTTATGGAAGACAGGAAATTGCGCTCCCTTTCACTAATTTTCTCTTTCCACTTCACTCTCCATATATGTAGTAATATTATTATTATTCATTTATTTTGCACAATATCTGAAAAAAAAAAAAATTCTTTATTTGTTTTATGCTCTCTCTCTCTCTCTCTCTCTCTCTCTCTCTCTCTCTCTCTCTCTCTCCATAACTGTTCTCTCTCCCTTTCTCTCCCTCGCCATATCTGCTCTCTCTCTCTTAAAAGATCGATTTCTTTGTTCGTCGCCATCGTCATCTCTGCCCTCTCTCTCTTCTCGGTCTCA